CATCCTCGGGTTCAAGTTCGTGAGATGATCCTCGGTCGCACCTTGTCTTCTCGCCTCCTCCATCGCTCGCTCTTAGAAACGCCAAGATTTAAGCCGGTCAAGCTTGGCTGGTTGGGATTTGCTGCGATGACAGCTACACGCGCCTATTCGCGGCTGGTACGCTTTGTACCCGCCGACACGCAGTCCAACAGCACTACGCCTCTCATCGGCGAGCCTGTGGATGCAGGGCTTGACGTTGGGCAAGCGACGTACTCCTCGCAGCCTGTTCGGGTGCACGTGTACTCGGGCACTTCGATCCTGCATCCAGGCCAGCGTACGGGCGAAGAGGTGACCGTCGGTCGTCTTTTGTCCCCTCTCGCTGCGAGCGAAGTAGGCATGATCCGATGTATCGGATTGAACTACATCTCGCACGCCAAGGAGGTTGGGCTGGACATTCCGACTGTCCCCACGCTTTTCACCAAGCCGGACACAGCTCTGGCGGGACCGTGGCCGCAAAAAACGGTGATCCCTAAGAGCTTTGTGCAGGACGATGCGGCGGATTACGAAGCAGAGGTGGTGCTCGTCATCGGCAAAGACTGCAAGAACGTCTCCGAGCAAGATGCCATGGACTATTTGCTTGGGTGAGTCTGCCCGAAATCAAATCAAAGGATCGAATCGTTCGAGAAAGCTGACCTTTGAGTTGGAGAGGATAGGATCACGGCGGCGAACGATGTCTCGTCGCGCAAGGCGCAGTTTTCACAGTCGCAGTGGAGCTACTCCAAGGGCTTTGATGGCGCATGCCCCATCGGCCCAGCTTTCGTCCACAAAGACGCCATCGCCAACATGACGGAGGTGAAAATTTCAGCAAGCCTAGATGGCAAAGTCGTACAGAAGAGCGACCTCAGGTATGTTTCGCACCACCCCACAACCGGAAAGACAGGATTAAACTGACCTCACCGCGTCTCTGGGTTGAAGCGATCTGATCTTTTCCATCCCAAAGATCATCTCGTTCCTGTCGCAGGGCACCACGCTTCGCGCCGGAACGATCATTCTCACCGGGTAAGTTGAGCTTCGGACTACGACCTGCTCACTTAGCATGTCGATTGCTGATCCTTTTGAATGATATGAACAGGACGCCGGCGGGAATCGGCTGGACCAGTCAGCCCAAACGCACGCTGCAGCACGGCAGCACCTTCGCAGTCACCATCTCGCACGGTGTCGGCACTTTGATCAACCAAATCGAGCACGAAACCTAACCATGCCGTCCTCACCGCAAGCTCAATCGACCGCGCTTCAACGACGCACAGATCCACCACTAGGATAGAATTGTACAATGCCAGCCTCTATTGCTTTGCATGTTGTACGCAGCCCCACACAATGTGATGAGGCTTGTAGAGAAAGAAGAAGTGAAGATGGGATCAACTCAGGCGGGGATCTGGAAGGCGCGCTGCGAGCCGCTCGAGAGGCTGTTTGACTTTTTGCGACGCTCATCGGGCGTGCCCACATGCATGGGTGCCTGGAACGCCGCCTGCTTGCCCGCAGCCTCCGAGGTAGCAGAGGTCTTGTTGGAGATGACATCGTTGTCGTTGCCGTACTTGTACGCGCCGCTGGCCACGCCATTGGCCTTGTCGGCCTTGGACTTGGCGAGGAAGCTAAAGTGACCGCCGACGACGGGGCGTGCGAGGAAGTGGATGAGCGGATCCTCGGGCTGCTTGGGAAAGTCGCCCGTGGTGCTCTCCATAAGATCCGTGAAGGGCGCATCGGTCTTGCCATCCTCGATGAACTTGTACAGCAGCTCGATGAAGAGCTTGTGCGTCGCCGGGTCGTCGGACGCAGCGGCGGCAAACATCTCCCAGTCGGTCTTGGTCCACTTGTGCCTCGAGTCAAGAGGCACGCCGTACTTCTCCTGCACGCGCGGATACCACGCATCCTGGATCTTGTACACCGCCTCCGGAACGAGGCTGAGGTCAAGCATGCGATCGGCAAGCAGATTGTACAGCGTGCCCCACGAGGCGTCGGTCTGGTAGGCGAGCTTGGTGTGCGAGGCATCGTGCGAGATGGCGAGCGTCTGCCACTGCTTGATGTAGGTGGTCGAGATGTTGGCGTACGATTTGGCGTCCTTGGAGTGGCCGAGCATCTCGGCGATGCGCGACATGGCGGCGATACCAGTGATGCCCTTGATGGCGAGGTCGGTCTGGTTGGCGAGCGTGCCAGCAAAGTCGTCGGTGGAGAGCTGCTCGGCCGGGATGAGGCTGTCGGCAACGAGGTACTCGGTCCACTGCTTCATGATCTTGTAGTGCTCTTCGAGGAAGGGCAGCGCCTTGGACTTGCCCACGAGCTGGGCCCAGTGGAGCGTCATCCAGATCATGTTGCCCGACTCCTCGACCTGCATGGGCTCGTCGTTGCCGTCGTTGTGGCCAAAGGCGTTGGGATACACGCCGAGGTCGTGCACGCACCACTTGTTGGGGTACAGACCGGACTCGGTGTACTCGAAGAGCGGCTTCATCAGGTCGCGCAGCAGGTTTGGGTTGGCGTAGGAGAGCAGAGGGAAGAGCGGGAAGATAACGTCGACGGTCGACATGTCGCCGTTGGACGAGATCTCCTTGAGGAAGAGGAGGGTATCGGAGGTGTTGTACCTGCCCTTGGAGTCCCGGCTGATGGTGATCTCAAAGGTGGCAAACGCCTGACGCACGGAAAGCTGGGTGATGGCGGCATACTTGTCGCCAACGGCGCCTCCGCCGACGGCAGCGCGAGAGTCGTCGGCAACCTGCTTGTCGAACGCCTTTGCGGTCTCGAGGGCATTTTCAAAGTCGTTCATAAAGAAGGCGACGGCGTCCTCGAGCTTGTCCCCAAACTCGGACTGCCAGTATCCGTATCGGTCCTCCTGGTAGCTCTTTGTAGAGTTGGTGCCGGGGTTCTTGGCGCGAATATAGTTGACGTAAGGGGTGCGCATGTGACCGACGACGAAGAGGGCGTCCTTGTCGGCGTGCTTTGCGTCAAAGTCGACGGCAAAGGCGAACGAGTTGTCGGGGCCGAGCACGGGGCCGTGGTCGAAGGAGAGCTTGCCGGTGTCGATAAACTCGGTGTGGGTGACGATGTTGTTGTTGTTGCGCGAGTAGAGGCCGGTGTGGTTGCGGGCGGCATAGGTGGCATTGCCCCACTCTGCCCTCTGTCGGAACTCGGTGTATACTTCGGGGTGCTTGCGTGTGACGAAGAAGACCGAGGTGTCGTTCTTCTCGTAGTACTGCTGATCGTAGGGGAAGTCTTCGTAGTCGTAGTCGTGGCCGGTGACCCAGCGCTCGTCGATGTCAGTGTAGAGCTGGATGCTGCGGCCCTTGATGGTGGTGGTGTCTAGCTCAACGTGGAGATAGCTGAGCGGCAGACTCTGGCGGAGGTAGTCGTTCGGGGTGATGGGGGTGAGGAAGGTGACGTTGAACCTGACCTTGTCTGCCTCGAAGGCGAAGATGGTGCGGGTAGCAGTGTATTGTGCACTGAGCTGCTTGGCGGCCTGGCCAGCGCGAACGAGGGTGCCAAAGCCATTGCCCATCCACTCGTAAGTGACATTGTCGATGCGAATGTAACCGGTCCAGCCGAGGCGGAATTCGCCATCGGCGCCGTAGGAGGAAGTCCAGAAGGCGGGCCACTGGCCGGCGAGGTAGCCGCCGTCTCCGACGGTGTTGGGAGGGGTGGAGGCACGGTTTGAGCCCGAAGGAAGCCAAGCGTTGAGGTAGGGGCTTCTCACCGCGAGTGGAAACGAGGGCGGGTTGACGGGCGAAAAGGAGCTCGAGGAGAGCGCCGAGTCTGCATTGGTGATGCCCGGGTTGGAGTTGGAGGAGCCGGAAGAGGAGGTGGAAGCGGGTGAGGCGGCGGCAGGCGAAGCGGCGCTAGAGCCGGCGGTCTTTTCGCCGTTGGTGACGAGCTTGTAGGAGGGTGCGTTGAGGTCGCCGCTCTGGAGGACGACCTGCTGAGCCTGCTGAACGGACCACTGAACACCTGGCTGAGCGGGGTCTGAGCTGAGGCCGACCAGCTGTTGCCCCTGAGCAAGGTGCTTTTCGGAGGGAGCGCGGGTGATGTCGGCGAGCGCCTCGTAGAGGGTCTTGAGGTCGCTTGACTTGGCGAGGGAAGCCTGGGCAGGAGCCGGGCCCGAGAGCAGAAGGGCCGCTGCGAGCGTCGAGGCTGTCGACGCGAATGACAACCTCATTGTGCTTGATGAAGTGATGAAGAGGGTCGAAGGCTTCGAGGTGCGACCGTTGAGGAGGTGGCGTATGCGCGTGTGGATGAACGAAGAAGGAGAATGGGCTCTAGCTATATATAGGCAAGCAGGAGGTGACGGTGGGTCGAAATGCGTGCAAGAGATGAATGGGATGCAGATCAATGTGGGTTGACAGCGGGTCGGTCGCGGTGGCGCGACGAGGGGCTTTGAGAGGAGGTGTGATCCTGAGTCTAAGCGAAATGAGGCGAAGGCTTCTAGTGCGAAAGTGTAGGTAGCGGATGGTGTCGAGGCTCGGATGGGGAGGCTTGCTTCTTTGTGGAAGGGGCGGATGGGAAGCGAAGGTGATGGGTGATGGTGCTACTGCAAGCGGCGGCGGCGGCGGCGGCAGCGCGGATGGAGGATATGAAGCAGTGGTGGGACGGGGGTGAGGAGGGGTGGGAGGGTTACGGCGGCAGACTAAACGTAG